CTCCCCCACCCCCACCCCCCCAACCTTCACGAGATCACGAGATCACAGCGGGACATGAGTGGCAAACAAGGGTCTGCAGGAACTTTCCGGAAAAGATTCCCTCTGTTGTGTGAAGGCGGGATCTACGAGGCGGGCTGACAAAACTAGGACAAAACGAGTTACTTCAGCAGTTAAGATGAGTTACTTTTGCTAATTGTTTTGACAAACTGTGTTACCTGTCGTTACAACGGGTTACTTGTGCTGACAAATTGAGTTACTTCTACTCACAAAAGGAGTTACTTGTGGCGTTAGAATGAGTTACTTCTGCTGAGTTACTTCGGCAGTTAAAATGACTTATTTCTACTTACAAGTTCAGTTACGTCTGCTGACAAAATGAGTTACTCTTGTCGTTAAAATGAATTATTACTTCTGCTGACGAAAAAGAATAATTTTGTCGTTAAAGTGAATGACTTCTGCTGACAAAAAGAATTACTTCTGCTGACAAAAGAATGACTTCTGCTGACAAAAGAATGACTTCTGCTAACAAATTGAGTAACGTCGTCTGTTAAAATGACAAAAAAATCACTGACCTGTCTCCATGTTTTTATCAACAGTAAAAATGCGACTTCTTAACGCAATCCGTACGCCCTGGAGTCATTTTGTACCCCCAGGGTTGTATTCTTCACATTTTAGAATACTTCTAGTACGAAGATCTCTTTGAAACTTTCAGTATTTCTCCAAAAATCATTTTGACAGATTGCTATGCAAAGCGTACGGATCGGATTAACGAATAAATTACCTCTTTGGAAAGGGGTGGCACAGAGTTCCCCGTGTGTTTTCATTGTTATCAAAAATGGAGAGAGGACAAGAAGGCACTGAGCTCACGATACGTTCCCAATAGGAAGGAAGGTGGGCTAACGTTTACTTGTAGTCATAGTGTTATAGCTTGTTCACTTTCGTCTGACCGCGTTAAAAAATATGCTAGCTCATTGAAGAATTACCCATGACCACGAAACTTTGCATGGCACTTTGCAGGCCAGCGACAGACAAAACATTAGTTTTTCAAAAAATGTTCACCCAGTAAAAAAAAAAAGTTTTTCTCTTTGGGCCCTATCTTAAAAAACCGCTTCTTGTCTATGGTCGGCCATGGCAGTGTCTGGTCTAAGATATTATATCAATCTATGGGCGGCCATGACAGTGTCTGGTCTAAGATATTATATCAATCTATGGTCGGCCATGACAGTGTCTGGTCTAAGATAGTATTGTTCATGTCTATGGTCGGCCATGACAGTGTCTGGTCTAAGATATTATATCAATCTATGGTCGACCATGACAGTGCCAGGTCTAAGGTACCATAGATCAATCTATGGTCGGCCATAACAGTGCCAGGTCTAAGGTACCATAGATCAATCTATGGTCGGCCATGACAGTGCCAGGTCTAAGGTACCATAGATCAATCTATGGTCGGCCATGACAGTGCCAGGTCTAAGGTACCATAGATCAATCTATGGTTGGCCATGACAGTGCCAGGTCTAAGGTACCATAGATCAATCTATGGTCGGCCATAACAGTGCCAGGTCTAAGGTACCATAGATCAATCTATGGTCGGCCATGACAGTGCCAGGTCTAAGGTACCATAGATCAATCTATGGTCGGCCATGACAGTGCCAGGTCTAAGGTACCATAGATCAATCTATGGTCGGCCATGACAGTGCCAGGTCCAAGGTACCATAGATCAATCTATGATGCAACATGCATTAGAAGTCCAGGGCAACTGTGAGGTCGTTAGTCTCCAGAGGAATGCAGACGGACACGACTTCTGCGTGCAGACATGTCGTGACGTCATCGCCCTTAGAGAGGGACCTGTCCGACCTTGACCTATAACCGCTGAGTCTCGGAAATTCCCCACTCTCGGACCGCGG